GGTAAAAAATGTGTGTCTAATATGTACTGAAATGTGCACTAAAAAGAAAATGTGTACTGAAAAAGAAAAGAAAACCCACCAACCTCCCCCTCCCCCACCAAACTCTTATTGCATGGATTTATTGACTCAAGACTTACATAGCTTAGTACTGTGCAGCTTGACTATTACTGAAACATATTTGGGTAATGAGTGTTAAAGGAGGGAGATTGCTGATATGGTATATTTAAATTCATTATTGTAATGGAATTAATTTATGTTAGGAATTCAGAAACTGGGACAGTAGGTATATTGCAAGCCCTTAATTAATAACTGCAGCTAAGAGGTAAAAAAAAAAAAAAAGTAATTTGCCTTTAGAATAAGATGCTTCTTCTGTGAATACTCTAATAACAGTTTCCACTTTTTACTTTGACAGAAAAAGTAATGGATTATGGAATTTTTAAGTACTGACCCAAGTTTCACCCAGAATATTTTAGGTTTACCATTTGTGCATATCATGGAACATACAATAAACTAAAATTAACAGCTGGAAGGTGACACATTCTTAAGGCAGCAGTGATTATGAAAAGGGCTGGGGAGCCAGTTTAAGCAGCTAACTAAAGCTTTGTTCAACTGTTAATTTAATTACTTTGTGTTATATCCTGTGTCACAAGTCTACCACACATTCAGAAATGCAAAACCTGTTGGGATGCACTCTGACAGCTGTTCAGTTCTATTCAAAGCTGACACTAGTGTTGTGAAAGATGCTATTTCAATTTTAAGCTCTGTAAAGTGACCATAAAAAGTTACATTTGGTCACCCTGATGAGAATTCCATGTGGAATACCCAAGGTGGAAATGTCATGGGCTGTTTTGATGGTTCTTTGTAGTCAGGACCAACACTCATCTAGAACAAAACATACACCACTGCCTAAATTAACATAGTTTTGATTTTGGTTTTATTGACCTGCAGTTATGCACTAACAGATTGAAACCAAAAAAGAAAATGGTTCCCTCCACCGGTAAACAGCAGGAGGCTTGTTTTTTTTTTTTTTTTAAATGAAAGTTTTACAAGTTCTTTCTCATAAATATTTCATTTTATCACTCTATTGACATGCTGAATATGTCCCATTTGGAAGAACTCAGTGGCAGCTGTAAGCTTCCCAGTGGAGTTCCATCAAGCTGGAGCTTTCTCCCATAGGATCTCTATCACTGTAGCAATTCTGTGCCCATTACATACAGATATTCTAAATGGAACTGCGTTGTTGGAAAACTTCTCTTCACATTATTTCCACTCAAATTATAGTGTCAGAAAAGTCTACAAAAATTAGGTTGTATTAATTACAGTAGATAATTCTGTGAGAATAAGACATAAGACCCAGTTTATAGTTCTGCTCCTACCTAAGGGGTCAGACTAATCCTGCATCTGTGTGTCAGGTCAGTTCATCCAACCCACACAAACTTCTGCCATTCTACAAAACTTCCAACAACTAAAAGTGCATGAGGTATGTTTAAGGTCTTTTCCTACTCACATAAGTTGAGCAATCTTTCCAAATACAGATTCCAAGGGGAAAATTTGCCCCAAAGATCTGTGGTTTTCTATTTTCAACCTGAATTCAAAATTCGCACGATAAACGCCTACGGGGCACACATTTCAATTAAATTTATATTGCTATCTTCAGTGAAGCCATCTGTAGGAGGAGTGCAAATAAAATGAAATTTAGCACCCTCATTCCTGAAGTTTAGAGCATGTGTGGTATTTTACACATTTAATGTGAGTGCCCCAAATGTCACCATAAAGGTAAACATGCCAGTTTTTAAATATCAGGCTCAGCATGTAGTTGCAATATGTGATAATAAAATCTGGCTTTATAAAGGGGAAAAGGCATGGAAAGGTGAAACAACTGTGATTTTCCTCTTCAAACAGATAAAATGTTCCTCCCCAAATCTGTGTTACATAAGTTTTATAATAATCCTCCTATTCGTACTGTAAATTATTTATGCAGAACTATTTTAAATATATCTGTATGCTATTTAAAACAGATTAAAACGTCAAAATTACAGGGACTATTTTTCAGGCTCTAGATTCTAGGCTGCTCTTTTAGTAGTTTTCAAGTGTTTATTGCATTATCTCAATTAATTTGAAGGTTACACCAAGGACACTGCAAACAATTGTACTAAATCATGTTATTTGATGGGCTGACACTGAAGCTTCTTTCATGCCATGGATTTACAAATTAACTGACATAAAAATGAAAATACTTCTAGAGGTGAAGCAATTTTAAAACAGGAAGATGGAAACAAGGATTAATAGATTTGAATAAGTGGTCTTTTGAAAGTACAAGAAAAAGAAAGTATAACTCAGTGGTTCCTAGGTGACTGACTGTGACATAAGACAATAAAGATTCATCTTTTATATGCTTTATGCAAAACACAAAGACAAGTGGTCAAATAAATGCAGAGCAGGAAAGACGATACATATGCTGATACATATTTATACCATGAACTGACTCTAATGTAAAACACTGAAAACTTTTTAACACCTTATATTGCATAGTCCCTCTAAAAATGATAAATATCAACATAGTCCAAAATTCTCTATATATTTATGAACTAAATTAAAAATTAAGTGCAATAAAGACAATGGAAACTACACCCACGTATCTTTAAAATCTCATAATTTAATATAAGAAAGCAGTCTACTCTGCAATCTAAGAAGGTAACACAATATCTGTGATTATGACTTAGAAAGATTAAAAGTGTATGTGTATTTTTAATGTTCGAATGTGTCTACCAGTTAAGCTATTCTCTACTGATAATGAACTAACATTAAGTTACAAACAGAGACAACAACAAAAGAACTCATGTCATTATTCTGGAATCAAGTGTAGCCTTACTAGCGAGAGCATTATCACAAGCGTACTTTGTATCAAAGTCTTATTTTTAAAAATATTAGAATGTTATGAAAGATATTGGGAGATTTCATTGTGACTCCTCAAAAAGAATTTACTGGTCCAGTCTCATTAGATGTTCTCCCACCATAAATTTCCTTTCAACACTACAAGGATTGTTACTGATTTAAAGCAATAAGGGGAAAGCAAACGGTTCTTCAAATTACATTTGCATAAACTTGGTACTTCAATTCCAGTGTCACCTTGGAGAAAACCAGAAAGGACTGATATCCAGTGCTTCATTAGACAAAATACAAGTGTCTACTAAGATTTGAACTTGTAGATGCATAGACCATAAACAAGTGTAGAAGATGTGCCTGGCACTGCATCAGCAATGCATTAAATTATGTATGATACTATACTGACACACAGTGACCATTATTACCATTATACATTTCCTTTATACAATAAAACCTCCAAACTTTCCTTCACAGGACGTAACAAGAAAGTGACTGTGTATAGTATTTAATATACAACAGTATAGATAAAACCCTTAGCAGTGAAATTTACAGCATTAAATGATGCAGTAAAATAACCATTTAAAATTAGTAAATCCTATATTTCATTTAATATACTTAACAGAATAATCAACCATCATAATGTGATTAAGATCACAAATCTCCAAATCTGTTTTGTTGTTTGGACTGAGTATTTTACTACACTTTCCTCCTAACACAGCAAACTATATGTAAAAAATAGTAAGAAATTAATCATACACCTTCCCTTTATGGATGTATTTCCTACAGCTGATGGCAGTTGTAATGTGATAAAAGCTACCACATCCAAATTTGAAGAGGAATCTCTGCATAGATTTTCAGAGTACAGCCACATGTAGGGCTAGGACTTCCATTCCCTCTCCTAACTGCCAGTTTAAAAAGTACTTTCAACTCAGACACAAACATTAACTAAACCCCACCATATCATTCTATGTGAAGCAGTACTGCAAGGCAGCCACAAAATAATTATTCAAGGTCAGTGATTGAATCACTGGTCAAGATAGAAACTGAGCACTGTGTTTCCATCTCTACTTTTGAAAGGATTAATTCAAACAAATGAGGATTTCCAACAAAATACTTCCACTGCTTCATGCACATAGGTCCATGGCAACTGCTGAAGTTCCTTCATGACTCATATTCTAACTTTTAGCTGCTTTATAGAAAACAAAACAAAAAACAACTCCCAAAACCCCACAGATGTAGGCACATCCTCAGGCATTAGAAAAGATAAATGCTTAGTTGCAGTGTGAATCCAGCTCATATTCCATTTCTATTTAGAAAGTGATTAATGTTCTAATAATAATAAATAATAGTTTGCACTGAAATTTATTAGGAAATAATTTTAAAAGCTGCTATATTTCATGTGCACACTCCTGCATTTTTAAATCTTTATATGCAAAAGCCAGATCAGAAATTTGATTAGATTCGGAAATTAAACCAAAAACCAGCACAGCTAATAATCCAATTTAATCCAAACAACAGAACTCATTCAGGGATTCTCATGTCAAACCCATAATTCTGCTTGAACCACAGATCAAATTTCATCAGCAGAAAGCCATCCCATTTCTTGCTAAGACATTCAAAGGTATAATTAGCCTCACTGGGAAAAATGTGGGTTTGTTCCAGCCCAAATCTATTAAAATTCAGTTTCTAACCTTGAGTTCTCATTTTGCCTTTGCCTGGCAAACAATAAAAGCAGATAGAAGATATTTGCAGTGAGGAGATAGAGATACATATATATATCCTATCATTTAACTACCTGTTTCTGCTGGATAATTTAGGAGTTACACTAATGCAAGAAAAGTGTGAATAGAAAGTTGAGTTCTTTATGGCTTACAGTATACGTCTGCATGACGTGAGACAAATGAGTTACAAAGTGTAAGACAGTAAATATATTTCATGATTTTTCAAATAAATATTATAGATTGAAAAAGCTTTAAGTGTTCCAAAGATCAATAGTAACAAGGTTTTTTTTAGAATACTTTATGCATACACCAAATTCTTTTTCACTTTCATATTTAAATGTTTCTCTTATGTTGTTGTATTTCATACAGTAAAATCTTTCATATATAACTTACTTTTTTGTCTTCATTATATTTGTGGAAAATTTCTTGTGCTCTTTCTTCACCACCATCTGTAAACAGCATAATAATCTTATTGCAGTTAGCTCTGGAGACACTGTGCTGTAGGAGATACAAACAGAAGAGTTTTTACATTTCAGACTATAAGGAATAACAGCTGTTATATCTGGTGCCTTTTATAGCTACACTTACTACTTTAACATGGTAACGTCAAAACATAAAAAATGTTTTAGAATTTCATTCAATACTCCCTTCTGAAAGAAAAATAAAATAAAATAAACCAAACTTTCTTTTCTGTTCCATGATACTTAATTATGAGTCACTTCAGATCTGGCCCAGCAGGGTGGAATAGGGATTTGGTAGCTCCTTTCACCTCCACAAACACGAGGGGAGCTCTTTAGCTCACACTCATCTCACCAACCCCACTGTGGTCCTCCACAGACGTCCTGCATGAGACTTGCACAGTGAGGATCTCTGAATATTTTTACTCCTCTCTTTTCTCATTCCTGCCTTTTTCCCCCTTATCATTACTCTTCTTGTGGAAACTGGGGAACAATGGACCTGTAATGAATTACTGAATATGCTTTTTCTTCTGTTGGTCTCCTACTCACAAAAACTTTCCAGATCCCTGGCTGCTTGAATAAAAACTCTGTTAATTTAAGCATCCTTTAGGATATCCACTTAAGAAGCTTTGAAATATTTTTGTCATTTTTCCTTAAAATGAGCTTCATCTTCCAAATCTTTAATTCTTTCATGTTGTTTTTAAATTATTAATACTCTCAAGCGAATAGCTTATCTTTAGATACGTATTTTAGAATAAGGTTTACCTAATATATTGTAGCCAAGATATGGCCACCTAGATTATTAAAATCTCTCCATCACCTACTTTTCCAATTATGTTGCATCTCAGAGCTGAAAAATTGAGCATGTTCCATTATTTTTGGAGAGCAAGCCTGAAACAGAATTAAGAAGCCCTTCTGACTCCTAATTCATCAAACTAGTAAAGCCCCTGAGAAAAATGCAGTGTGTTTTTCAAAGAAATAAAAACATTGTTTCACAGCTAGATCAATAGAAGTGAGCATGAATTTTGGCTCCTCTTCTTGTATTTTCTAAAAGTGAAGAATTTAGTCTAAGCAAATTGCTTATCACTTTTGCAGCCATTTTTTGCCTTTTGTGTTGCATACAAATGGTCCCAGCCAGACACACCTTGGTACTTCTGAGTACTTGGATGTGACAGAGTAAAACACTTAGAGATCCTGTGAAAAAAAATTCAACTTCTCCTTCCACAAGCTTGAATTTTGCTGTATGAATTTACTGTAGAGTCAGGAAAATAAATAGGACAACTGTCCTTACAAAGCCCCCAGTTGCCCCCTCTTTACTCAGAGTCACTGTCCCCAGCCTGGTCAGGTGTGATGAGCCCACTCCCCTCTGACACTTTTCATTCTACTCACTGGTATAATTCTTCAATATTCGGGGAAGAATTAATTATTTTCTTACCATTGCTAATTTCAAATTTAATAATTTGGGAAAAAAAAAAAAAAGGAAAAAAAGAAAAAAAAAAAGAAATCAAGCCTGAAGATTTAAGCCTGAAGATTCCCTTACATGTAACAACATATAAAACCTGCCTGAAATCAATACCTTCTCTCCAACCTCATCAGCACACTGTGTTTCAGTTGGAATTAAATTATTTATGACCATTTTTCGCTTGTGAAATATAACTTGCAAGATACTGCTTTGGGCTGCAATTCTCTCGATATTAAAAAAGTAATAAAGTAGGGTTGGATGCCTCATAAATAAAAAAAAATTCACCTACATTTACAGTGATTTAATATATAGACCAAAATAAGATTAGAGGGACAAGGAAGGGGACCAAAATTCTCTCATATTATGGAACTTCTCTGAGGATTTTGAAAGAAACACTACTATGGAAAATGGGACCTTGAGCAAGGCTTTGCTTTTACTAAGACAGGACTTTTCTGTGGCTTACTTAGCATATGCTTACACAGTATCAGAAAAAACCAGTTTTATCTCCTCATACTTACAGAATGACATTTCTTTACACTACATTGTTTAGACACCAAAGTCACGTGACAAAAAAAGCCAAGATTTTAGCCTCCAAACATTATTGGAAACCTGAACATAAATAAACTCAAATCATATGATATTACCCCATCCCTGGAACTGTATAAGGCCAGGCTGGATTGAGTTCTGAGCACCCTGGTCTAGTGAAAGGTGCCCCTGCCCAGGGCAGGGGTGTTGGAAGCAGATGATCTTTAAGGAATTTAAAACACATCTTTGTCTCCCCACACTCCTTTGGTCTAAAATGGAGAGATACTGGCTCAGGGAGTGAATCCATCACAGATTGTGAAAAGCTGATGTTGTAATTTCATCATTTTTCTGAACAGTTTGCCTTAGCAGTCCAATGGGCCCCAGCTCAGTGGGAAGGTGCTGTCTATACAGGAGCTTCCCCAGGACAAGAAACAGCTTCTTACCTTAAATCACAAAAGAATACAAGTGGAATTGGGATATGTATTAATTTTTAACTCTCTCATCTATTTGATACATGTCTTATCTTCTTCTTTCAAACAGGCAAACAAGACATGATCCATTTTATACTGCATGTAAAATTGATTTTGTTTTATACAAGTTACACATCTTTAAAATTAATTCTTTAAGTGGCAGGTTACAATTAGATCTTGTGACATGACACTTTAGGAATGCATTTTTCACTATTTTTTCTTTAAGAAACCATAGATATTATAGTATGAGGGAAAAAAACCGTCCTGAACTGCTGAAGATGAAGTAATATGATTTTTAAAAAAATAGCAAGTTAATGTAACAAGAAATAATGGGGAAATGCTTAATTAAAAATATAAAATCCAGATTATTGCTAATCACATGAATTAGTACATTGGAAAACTTGACTCTTTCCATTCAGGAACAAATCAGACAGCAATTTTTTCATGGCACCAAACATTACTTTGGTATACTGGAAAACTGTTTGAAATAATTGTCATCCATAAACTGTACCCACAAAATTATTTTGAAAATTTGAGCAATACTGCATTTATATGTACCTTAAAGCAATTGGACTATTTGAATTCATAAATATACAGCTGGAAACTATCCCAAAGCCTCCTTTTTATTATTCATTTAAGCCTGTATTATACCACCATATTATATTGTCTTTTCACCAGAGTCTTGGGGTAAACCCATCACCAGCCCTTTACTCTTCCTGCTAAATGGATTTGCCAATAATTGGAGAGAATGAACATATATATAGAGCCTTGTGCAGTCCATAATCTCCAGCCATAACTTCTAGTCTTGCAGAGATCACACTTCAGCCTCTAGCTACAAAAGAGACAGTCCCACTTTAACACTGATCTCCAATTAATTTTTAAGTAATACTTTAGTCCTGCAAAAAAGTCCAGTTTGAGGCTTCTGCTGTGTTCAACTTTTCTTAATGTTGCCTGTACATAAAGTATGTACCTGGTGCTGCACCAGATGTAATCCAGAACTGTAAGCCAATACCAATGTTATGAGGAACATATTTGGCAAAATTTCTTGTCTTCCTGGTTCCCTCTGCATAAGATGTCACCAGGTGCAGAAAAGGAGAAAATGCCAGCCAGCCTGGTCCAAAATGTCCAACAGATTTCAAAATATTGTTTGTGGTTTTATATAACCATCAACAGAGGACACCTACTCTTTTCCCCACCACACTCCTCTGCTAATCTGAATAGTAGTATACTGAGAAAATTCCCATGAAAACATTGCATTTTCCTTTCCTCTATCAAAATTTAACAAGGTTATGACTTTTTACATCAGATCTAGCCTTAAACTACATATACAATTTCAGGGAAGTGTTCTGAATTTCAGAAAAAACCCAAACAAACAAAAACAAAAATCCAAAACAAACAAAAAAACCCAAATCAAACCAAAACACAACCAAAACCAGTAAGGATAAGTATATATTTCTTACTTCTTAAGCTATACCTTACCTGCTGTAAAGTGATACAGCTTTATTTACATTAAGGTTTAAGATATAATATGACTACTTCAGGCAGGTGAGAACTATTTTCTAAACAACTACATGAACCATTTAAAATTTACAGACAAACCCCCAAAAAATGCTATAAATGGGAAACATTGCTGTTCAAAAAACTAGTGTCTGGGTGAAAACAAGAAAGCACAATGTATTTAAAACATGGAAACAATGCATTTAATTACTGAGGAAGTTATTATTTTTTTACATGAGAAAGAAAAGAATTAGAATAGTCTCAGTGAGTGAACACTACCCTTCAGGCATCATCAGGTGCCTAGTATTCCTCTATTGACTAACTCATTTCCTCCCCTCTGTCTTGCTCCAACCATAGTAAAGTATTTATGACTCCTAATAAGTGTGAAATTGTAGGTTAAGTAAGCATTGCTAGGAGATGATGTGGCAACAATTTAAATAATAGCACAGTAACACAGATCTTTGCATTTTAAAATTAACTGCAAGTCAACCACTACCACAAGTATGTGTCAACTGTGAATCACATGTTAAATGAAAAAACAGCTGAATGAATGAAGTAAAACAGTACAACAGATTGAAAACCAAATTAATTCCAAAGTCTTAGCAACCTGCTGGGGAACCTGAAATGAAAAAAACATTGTTGGGATAATATTACTTGCTAAATATAGGTTTGCACTTCTATCACTTAGTTACACAATGAAGGAGCATGCAGTGGCCTGCTGAACATCCCAGTTCTCCTGCTTCATTTGACAGCAGAGAGATCTAATTTAAATACTTACATTTAGTAGCTGTTCAAAAGCATAGCTAAAGCCTTTTTTGTAATCTGTAATTCCTTTAGCAGAGATTTTATAGACAGCTTCTTTCAGTTTCTTCTTGTTCCTCACATTGGCTTGGACAAGATGATTAAAGCAACTGACATTCTGAGCATTATTATTAAACTGCAAAAGAAATAGAAATAGTATTAAAAACAGTTAATTTTCTTTTCTGTGTACTGTAGAATTAAAGCTTTACGTTTTCTGAATCTTTGTGAGATAAAGAATGTCAAACCTAGATTTTAATTTCCACTATGCTGAGAACAACCAGTAGTGACTGGAGATTCCAAAATGAGACCATATATTGTAAAAAACAGGTATTTGATGCTTCACTTTGCGGTAACCCCAAAAATCTACTACAGTGCAAAAATTTCCACAAATTTTGCTTCAAGTTTTCATAAAGAAATAAAGAAATAAAACTCAGAAATGAAGAGCTGAGGAAATTTTAAAAAATAGATAAAAATATATTTTACTTTCTTTAAGCCCCTGAAAAATATTGGTTGATTTATCAGGTGACTTCCATATTTCATCAATTAGTTTGGCGGTTTACAATGTAACTTGCAGAGCAGATTCAACTCGTATATATATAAATTTATGGAAAACAAAATACACTCTTGGAAGCACAGGAGAGTATAACTGCAAATATGAGAATACTGATGATAGCAATAGAAATTTGTGTCTTGAGAACTCACATACTTCTGCTGTCTTACTCACATATCCATAAAAACTACTCCCTGAAAAGTAATCTAGATGATATTCTGACATTATGTAAAACCAAAACCAGAATTTTTCTAAAATGCAAAATGTTTTCTGCACAAGTGGAAACCAGTTTAAGATTGCTTTTAAATTTGTCTCTGTATAAACATATATAGTCACATCTACTAAAATACAGTCCTCACTATTTACATTTCAACTGAAAGCAGATTATTATGCCTCCTGATTTTGGATGTTCAATGAAAGTAAACAAAAATGTAATTTTATGCTGTCAACCTGGAGCAAAGCCTTAAAATGACTTAAAAAAATCAAACCCCTTTGGCTTACGTCTCACTACTGCTAACTAGTTCAATAGTGCTCTGTAGATTAAAAGGTAAATAAGGGCACAGGTTTCAATAAATGCTCAACTACTTACATGCCTAAAATAAATCACTAAGTACCAGGCACAAAGTACAGGGACAGAATTTCTTTCAGCAGCAAATACCAGCCTGTAACTGGAGGACACTTATAGCAAACCAAACTTAAAAGGATGAAGGGAGTAATATTAAACCATTTTTAATAATGCCTAGTATTTAAATTCATATTATTAGGGGGTTACACGGTATATTTTTAATGTATTCCATGTTTCCCAAAAAAGAATATTTTTGGGATGTTTTGCTGCTTAAGCAAAACCATGACATCATCACACAACTGACACACCCAATGATGCTTCCAATAAAAGTTTCTTACAGAAGTAACCAGTAAATCACCTAAAGATTATTGGATACATAAACCATGTGGGAGTTAAAACAGTTATTATGCTGTGGAATTATTTCAGTTTGCCTCAACCTAAATTTATAGCCATGATAGGAAAATTACAGACATAAAGTAATTTTATAAAGACAAGGTCTGAAAACCAATTCAAATTGTGAGTTGGGGTAAAAGTACAGAAATTGTACTTGGAAGGTAGAAAATAAAATACCTTGTAGGCAGCTCTGCCCTACAAAAGCCAATTTCATCTGAAAAAAATAAAATGAAAATACTCCTTTGCTTCACCAGTGATATTATATAGAAATTATTTAATGACCTAATATAAAATAAATTCTTAGTTCAGTCCTATAGCCTGTGCATGCCTTGTCTTGGCTATAGCAAACAGCAGTTTATACATTCAAATGAAAATTTAGTGACAAGAGAAAATTTCTCCCTGGAATATCACTAATATTAAACTGCCAATCTAAGTTGCTTGCTAGCAGTCCTGCAAATTATTTTTAAGAAGGTCAGATGTCCAGCACATGGATTGGTAATTATGGCTGCAGAAATTATTTCAAAAATATTTTCAGGAATACTGGTTCAAACTGTGCAGGCAGCTGACAAGGAAACTGTGCCATACTACACGTGTACATTAAACTGTATTGCACTGTACTCACACATGCTGTAAAGTGAACAAAGGGTCAAGCCCAAGCATCTGCATCTGTAGATGCACAAATGCTGATGTAAAATGAAGGAGAGAAATGACACATTTGTAGCTTGGAGAGTTACATCAACCGAAGTCTGCAAATGCTGTAATTTAATTAAGCAAATATATGAGCCAGCTGTTTGCAGAGACATCAGTCAACATTAATGTTAATGCCAGTCAGAAAAGCAGATGAGCAGAGTTTTTGATTAGATGACAGAATCAGTAGATGGAACAGCAATCCTCCACAATGAACATTTCCTTGTTTGCTAGGAGATGAAGGCAAGGCTCAAATCTGACTGATGAAAATGCTCAAAGGGGGAAAGAAAATTCAGGGGTGAATTTAATTAATCTGAACTGTAGTTCTGAAATAATGGAAGGATTTCAGCTGTGAAAGCCACCAGCTCATCCTTAAAACTGACTTTCCAAATGTGACAAACACCAGGACCATTCAAAACTTAAAGAGTTAGCCAAACTGAGGCAGGTTTTAGTTATGCTTATCTGAAACGTAATAGTAACACTGGCACTATAATTTTTTACACATTAAGATGTGTAAAAATTTACACATCTTAATTTACAAGCCAAAATAGCTGCTGTAAACCTTTAATGATTACTGGTCACATTGTCTGATCCCTAAGTAACATAATAATGCTTATTTCAATTCACAAGATTTCTTGAAAACACAATCACTTAGTATTTAACTGAAGAAAGAAAATGTAAGCTTTCATAACCAATTGCCATTTCAGAAAGTCCATGTTCTTACAAAATGAAATCCTATCAAAGGTTTAAAATTAAGGTAATTACAACCCATACTTTATTGAACAAAGTACTCTCAGTGTAGCTATGTGAAATATGTCAGTTGGGTATTTATCAGCCTCGCATTCCCCCTAATTATTGCAGTAAATATAAACATATGCAACAGAAGTGCTGTTGGTAAAAAGGAAATAAATGGATTTTTTTATGATGCCATGGGCTCAGTGATTCACTTACAAAACAATATATGACATTTAGAGGCAAACCATTCAATTGTTAAAATACAAAGCCACCCTATAGTCTGTCACCACCAATGACAGCTTCTATTTTTTTCAAGTATATGAAAAGCTTATTTCTTATCTAAGTTAAAATAAGAGAAGCTTGCAGCAAAACAGTTGTAAATAATGGAAAACAGGATAACCTTCAGCTTTTTATTTTAAAGTATCATGAAGTATTAATATAATTAAATCTGTCTGGTAATTATCCCTGCAAGGTATAGGGTCTAGAGGCAGTTTCCACTGGATTATTTCTCACTACCCCATTTATTTATATCCTTTCACAGTCTGCACCTTTGGGATGTCCCAGAACAATCCTCTGTTCTGAGGAAATTAAGACCTTCCCCTCACAGCTTTGGGCAGGAATAACTTAAGCCATCTATTGGGGCACAAAAAGTCTCAGGAGAACTTGGCCTCATTGACCTCAGCCCACCAGTACAATCTTGGGCCATATATGGGGCAACTCAATAACCTGAAAGGTAAGAAAACAAATTCAGCTTAACAGGAAAGTCCAAATGAAGGGCTTTGAGCCTAATGCTGCATGGCCTTTGGCATTCTGGAGAAGGTCTGAAACAGAAATACTAACCTGACAGTCTTACAAGGACTTTATCTTCTGAATCAGGAAAGGATCAATTTGTGAAAACCAAATGAACAAAACAGTGAGAAATTATACAGAACTACAGTAAAAGATTTAAATGCTCGAGACCTTTCCCCTCCCTTGGGTAGTTCCACTGAGCTTTGGGCTCCTCCAGGCACATGAACCTCTGCAATCCACAGTGCCCCAACAGCTGAACTTAGGGAAAACAAGAGACTTTCATTCTTAAAACCTCTTCTTCTTCCAGAATAGTTACTTATTCATTGCTAAAAACCTCCTCTTTTCCACAATCTCAACCTGGAAATAATTCTAAGAGAATTACTAAAACTGCTACCATAACGTGAGGCTGGCAGGGAATTCAAGGGAAATGAAACAGAAATATTGATTTTTTTTTTCCTATATCTGGTCCCACGCTAAGCACTTTGTGGATATGCAGATCAAAAAATGAATAACAAGACACTACAGAGAGGTGTTTTCTTTAAGAGGGAAGTATAAGGCAAAAGAAGGGGGGTGAAGCCCCCCCAAAAAACGCATCTGAAATAAAGAAAGTATCAGAATTCAAAATTGGGATATACAGGGACTGAAAATCAAAGCTATCAAGCAACCTGGGAAAAAGCGAAAATAAGAAACAAAATAGATTAGGAGTAAACCAAAACCAAACCAAACCATTTATAATATGTACTGGGGTTCTTTTCCAAAACTGCATTCTTTTTAATACATTACCTGCTTAGCAGATACAAACTGCCCTGTCTATTGGGAACTCCTTTTATAAATCTGCCTTTTGCACATACCAGCCAACCTCTCTCCAGCTGACAAACCTCAGGAAGTTACACAGAGCATATAACTCCCAGGGCTATCCACACTTTAACATCACAGTCATTTTCAAATATTACTCAGTATCTTGGACTCCTTCTGAAATAACTCAGAAGTTTTCTCATTTCCTTGGTGAGAAAAGTGAAGCAACAGGAAATAAAAAAGTAAATCCAAGGCAAAGGCATGGCTTTAATCTTAATTTCCCACTACAAGAATATGCTTTTTCCCTTTCCTTTGTGCAAATAATTCCAAGTCCTCAAATTTACCTTTTAACTTGATATTAGTTATTTTGCTATAAGCCATTTAAACCACACAGTCAAACAGGGTACAAATTTTTAAAGCAGGGATTCTCATAAACATTTTATCCCTTAAACTTCTTCAAAATGCATATACAGCTAATGCCATTTATTCTGAAGACTACATCACTGTAAGAGAAAAATCCTTGATTTCACAGGCAATGTAGGAATAGATGAATGTTTCAAATTCTCTTCTGTATACCCATCCATCCCTATCTATAATTCTAAATAGATCTCCATCTCCCAAG